AAGTAAGGATTGTATTTCAGATATGTTCACTGGACTTTAAAACGCATCTTCTGAAAAGGCTATTCTTTTGGAAAACTTGACTGTCAAAATTTTCCTCTTCAGGGCCTGGATATCCTTGTGGGTCAATAGCTTATAGTCAGGATAACAATTCATATCTAATTAGTCCCATTGTGTGCAGTTAAATCACACTTATTTTTTTTCATGTATATGATCTATAAAATTGTAAATCCTTTTTTCTATTCTAAATTTTAAAATTAAGCTTTAAACACTCAGCTTATTAGTTCCTGTTTCCTTAATTCAGGATCTTCCTTAATTCAGGATTTTTTTCATAAACTAGATGAATGAATAGTTCTAATAACATTTTAGTATTTTTTTAACAATTATAATATTTTAGATTGAATTTATGTGGGATTTAAAAATATTGTTTTACAGTTACCAGTGGTTATTAGAGTACCTAGACTTGAATACTCTGCATTGACATTGTGTGGAATGCCATTTTCACTACTGGGTTTCGGAGATATCATTGTACCAGGTAAAGAACTATTTTGGGTAACTATAAACGAAAATTATCTGAAATCCTTTCTTGTAAAAACCTGATTTTTTTTTTCAAGTGGGTCTTCTATATTTCAGGCCTACTCCCTATTTTAATACAAATTTCTGGCTTTTGATGTATGTAAATGCATTGTAAAATTTAAAACATCTGTATTTTTATTATATTCTCTAGTCTAAGTACAATTTAGTATTTTAAGATTTGTATAGCAATCTGCTTTCTTATTACAGATATATATTCATGACACTTGTATTTGTAGAATATAGTACTATTAAAATAACAAGAATCAGGATCAAGCTGGTTTTACAGGAGGTGCAGCATGGCAAAGGATTATCATTGCTTTACTAAGACTTACCCAGGGTTGCTTGGGGGGGTAGAGATTGGGAGGGATGCAGGAGTCAGGGCAGAAGGTTGGGAGGTGTAAGAGAGCTCAGTGGAAGGAGTGGGGGGCAGCCTGTGGCTTCTCCCCGGAACCAACCTGGGGCAGCGGGAGGGCCATGCAGCCAGGCCACTGGATGTTCCCCATGGCTGAGGTGCTGGCTTGCCTCCCTGTGGTTATTCTGGGGTATAACTGTCCCTGCTGTATTACACCCTCCCCCTTTTCATTTGATGGGCAACAATCCTATTTCATGCAAATCCCGTTGTCCTGGCACAGCCAAACCTTGACCTTGCTTTAAGTTATGATAGGGAAGCTGCATACTGAATTTGGTGGTCTTAGCTCCTAGTTTAGGAGGAGTTCTTGAACAGATAGACATATATATAGAAACACGCACAAACTCTCTCAAATACAGTAGATTTCTAACTATATGATGTATACACACATTGCTCTTTCAAAAAGAGATTTTGTATGCGACATAAACAATTTTTCTACATTGTTTATAGGAGGAAAATACGTGTGTATTGTCAGGGCTCACCGAACCACAGCGAGTCCTGCTCGCCAGCTGCGCTGTCCGGCGATCTGTGTATGCGCAGATCGTCCAAACCCGGCTCTTCCTGGTTGCAATCTACTCGCCACAGGCGAGTAGATTGCATTATTTGTCGAGCCCTGTGTATTGTAATCAACAACAGTTAGCTCTCTATCAGTAGATCTCAGCGAGAGTTACAAAAGATTAGAACAGTTGTTGGGTGAACACTTGAGTTTTTCACCTGGCTCTGCCATAGACTTTCTTTGAGCCCTTGGGCAAATCACTTATCTTTATCCTTTAACCCTCTCGCTTTACAGATGAGAAATTTTTTTCTCTACTGCATAGGGCTGTACTGAGGCAAATTTAAAGTGTTTGCATGTATGCAATGCCTTCCCACAAAGTGGTAGATATTTGTTACCACTGCATAGTGCAGATCCGTTGTATAATCTTAAGTGCAAAACATATTAGCTTACTTAAATAGGGGATATTGACTTTAGAGACATTCTTACACTAGAGCCACGCCACAGGCGAGTAGACTAAAGCAGCATAGTTAGGGCATTGCAGCCTTGCCAGTGTGACTCTGTACAGTAGATGTAGACTAGTGATGGAAGGGAGTTTTCTGAGTGACAGTAGCTAAGTCAACAGAAGCATTCTTCTGTTGAACAAGCAGTCTCTATTCTGGGGTTAGGTCAGCATAGCGACGGAAATCAGCTATGCTGATTGAGCACACTAACTATGGTGACCTAAGTTTTTTAAGTATAGACCAGGCCTGAGATTTCTTGAATAAGACATTGTCTTCTAGCTGCCCACAGTATTTAACTTAAAATTTTGTAGTTAACTGTTTTCTCCCATATTATTGCTACAATGAGAAGAGAACATAATGGCCATACTGGGTCAGACCATCTAGTCCAGAATCCTGACTTCCAACTAGTTCTTTTTTTGTTCTTTTTTTGTAAGAAAAATGGTTCGGGGAAGTGCCAGGGGATGAAATGCCACTGCGGCCCCTTTAAGAGCAGTGTCCCCCAAAGGGGCTTCCATTGGGAGCCCAGCCACCCTAGGAAAAGAGGTGCCGGTACACCCAAGGGGATTGCAATTCATGTAAGTTATGCAGGGAAAATAGGTGCCGATGCACTGTTCCAGGGCGTACCATCACAAAAAAGCACTGCTTCCAATGCCAGATGCCCCAAATGGAATGAACAGAACAGGGAATCCTCAGTGATTCCCTCCCCTGTCACCCATCCAGCCTCTGACAAACAGAGGCTAGGGACTCCATTCCTACCCATTCTGACTAATAAGCATTGATGAACCCATTCTCCATGAATATATCTAGTTCTTTTCTGAACCCTGTTAATGTCCTGGTCTTCACAATATCCTCTGGCAAGGAGTTCCACAGGTTGACTGTACATTGCATGAAGAAATACTTCCTTTTATTTGTGTTAAACCTGATACTATTAAGTGTGAATGCAGCTTAAACTTCTTCCAGTAAATGCTTTTTCCATATTCTCTTTAGGTCTCTTGGTTGCCTATTGTCGAAGATTCGATGTTCAGACTAGGTCATCTTCTGTGTATTATGTTTCCTGTACCATAGGTAAATAATTTTAATACAGTATTTGGGCAAAATGAATTTTCCTACAAGCTGTTTGTGAATCTACTAGATACCTTTTTCAATTTTTCAAAAGTGAATACTGCCAAAATTTTAATTTCTGGTTTTACTTGAACATGCTTGAGTTGCATCATTAGACAAATCAATGAATATTTAAAGTACACTGAAATTTCTTTTTGCACACTTAAATAATCAAGTAGTATTAGCTCTATATGCAAGGGATATCTGTAACATTGTGTAGTGCTGTACACTGTTCAGTAGCTGTTCTGAATTTTTTTTTAATAGCTTATGCTGTTGGCATGGTGTTGACTTTTGTTGTTCTGGCACTGATGAAGATGGGACAACCAGCCCTTCTCTATTTAGTACCATGTACACTCATTACCAGCTCACTTGTTGCCTGGAAACGCAAGGAGATGAAAAAGTTTTGGCAAGGTAGTAACTATCAGGTAAGTAGAATAAATGCATACAGTCAAAACAGGTTTATAATGTTAAGTGTATTCTTCCTTAAATGAGTATGTGGTGCTGAATTAGAAAGCCAGTCACTTTATATCTGTATATGTGGTGTTTATTGCATTTCTTTTAAAAATACCCTTTGTAGAAGCTAAGTATATTAGTCTGTAAATCAACTCAATAGAACAAGATTTAAAGGAGAATACAGATATTTGGCTCGGTCAATCTTAAAAATCAAAACAGATAACATTTTTCAAATTAATGCAGTAGGAATTGTATTCTCTTCAGAATCTTTGACTAATCATCTTCATGCAAAGTGTTGTCATTTGGAACATTAAAAATGGCACCCAAACATTAAATTGGAGACTAGTTTCCAGTCTGCGAGTTTGTTAGAATACAGTTTGAAAAAAAAATTGGACACATCAGAGCTAGTTTGATCATCAGTTTAGGAAAAGTTTTCTGCATTTGTCTTATGCTGTCAGGATCACAAATGCCACTCTGCAACAAAGCGACCATTTGTGATGTGGGGTGGATGTAGAAATATTATTAAAAACTTCTGTCCAACTGTGTCTGCACAAAGCAGTTGTAAAACAGCCTTTTGAAGATTTCCCTTACCTAAATCGATTTTCTTGGGTGATGAGAATTCTAATTGTTCATATGCTATCGCCAATCTGATTGCTGGCACAAAGCACCAGGCATTGGAAAGGGATCACAGTCAGAACATCTATGTCCCTGCAATCTCTTGGGAGCTATTGTTAGGTAGTATACAAAAAAGGAGCCTTGAGGTTACTCTGATTTGTGCTGGGAACTGGTCAGCAGTAGGAGAATACAAAAATATTGGAAGACCTTAAATGTGCCTTAAAGCCATCTTTGTGTCTCCTTCCACTCATAACTCGGGCCAGAATATGGACTACTATTTTCAAGAAAAATTGGTTTATGGTGAGAGAAGTAGCTCTTATTAACTAAACTTTCAGATAGCTGTGTTAAACAAAGCAAGAAGAATTTTCTTTTGCTTATATAGGGTGACGCTCGTGCAGAAGTAGAGAGGTTACCCTCCATACCAGCTCGACATTACCTGTCCTCAATGTAGAGAGGAATAATTCTACATCTGCTCACATAAATCCATTGGGTAGAAATGCCTCATGAATGTATGAAGGGATTTTGCTCAGTATTCCTGTGTATAGGCTGAAATAAGCTATGGAGAAATTGTATGGTCAGCCTGAATATATACATAAGTATGTTCTTGCTCTTCCTGCTCCTTGTAGAGTAACTTGTTCAAAGCCCAATTGTGCAGGTTGCCTCTGGGAGCAAAATACCCAATTGTGCAGGTTGCCTCTGGGAGCAATTCTCTGGGAGAATTGTAGTTAATGATATAATCTTCCCTGATTAAGTTGTTAGCGTGTTTGGACTAAAAACTTTAGCTACCAAAAAGCGTTCTCTCTCTTCCTCTAACAAAATTCATATTTGGCAGATTTGTGTTGCCATAGTAGTCATTTCATGTGCTTTTCAACAGTAGTTTTATTTTAAGGATTAAAATGTCTCTGAAATTGGGCCTATTATCAGGTCAAAAAGATGTTGACTTACACATTGGAGATTTCGCTGACATGTAAACATTCTGTGTGATCTTACTGAGACATTTCTTCTGTCCAGTTTTAGGGTTACTGTCCCTTTTATTTCACCCAGTGTATATTTTTCATTGCTTTTATTCAATGCATCTTCAGATTTGGAGAATCCTGTAGATCTCAGATTTTGATTTGTATAGTGAAATCTTTCTGCAGTGTGTGCATATGTTGTATTTTGAACTTAGCAATGGTTTCTTTAGATACCCTTTGTTTAAAAAAAAATACTGGGTCCAAATATTGAGTTGCTAATACTCAGTGCAGCTGAAGATGGAGGAAAGGTGAATTTACGATCCTTTTTTTTTTTTTTTTTTAAAGCTAAACTTTATCTTTAAGCCTCTGGGGTTTGAAATAGCACTGGAATACATTAGCCAAAGCAGCCCTTACTGGGGCGAGGGGGACCCAGATGTACCTGCAGCACAAGCTTTGTGTTTGAAGATTCTTCCATACTGAGAAAATCCTCAATTGCCCTTTCAGAGCTAGTTTAATGTTCCTTTCTGCTGTTTCAACAGGGCAAGTGGGACCTTAGTAGATGCCTGGTATTTTGCCATTAATTAATATTGAGCCATACTTAGTAATTTGACACACTAGTTCTGGTTTTCTAGATGCTATTGCCACAATCTTTTTTTTTTGTTAATTTGTCTTGAAACATTGCTGTTATATATTACTGTAATAATGGAGTGAATTTCATTCAGGTTTTGGACTCTTCCAGGAAGCCTTTGCTACAAGGTGTGATATAGATTTCTTTTAGTACTAATCTGCTCATCCATTCTTTTCTTTTTGCTTGCTTTTACTTTTTTCTTTTTAATCTGCTTTCCTTCCACTTTTGGATGTAATTTAATTAAAAAAAAATTTAAAAAGGAGATGAGAATTTCTAAAATACAAGAGTCTCGTAAACATTTCAGCATGAATGTGGAATTTTAATAAGAGAAACTAATAACAGCATCAAAGGAAAGACTTTCTTTATCCAAAACAAATTGTACATGTTTTTTTCAGGAACTTAGCTCCTTTTTTCTCAGGGAGGGCAATGGCAGCAGCAACTGCTTTCTGCTACATTGTCACAGCAATAAAAAAGTGTCATGGAACTAGAAGATGCCTTTCAGTTGTCATTCCCCTGCCAAGCCCCATCCTTTGTCAAAATTCAAGGTGTTCCCTTTTTTTTTTTAAAAAAAAAGGTGAAAATGTTTTAAATTCTAATATGTAAATTTTGTAATTTGAAGACCAATTACAAGAGTTATTCTGTTGTCTAGGCATCACATTTTTTCCTGAAAGCTTTGTTGGAACTTAGTCCAAATTCAGGGCATATGCAGACTGACAGCAATTGGAAACCTGTTTTATAAGAATGATGGGGAGGCTGTGTGTACTACTGAATACATTAGATATCCTGGAATGCCATGAGTGTCACTGGATTGGTGCTGATTACGCTGCTTGCTATCCTTATCTGTGTGGTGCCCGACCAATATTTCTATCTGGCTCAGTGCCTCAGAAAATTCTTATATATTGCTATCCGCGAGTGTCATCTCATAGTCACTTCTAGGTAACCGCTTCCACATATGGCCATATATTGTGCTGCCTTAGAACCCCCTGTGAATACCATGGCTCAACACTGTACCCTGCCCTTAGTAACACTGAGCCATTTTATTTCATCTTTTGAAATATTGTATGAGCAAGATACCTTTTTCCAATCAAATTTCATGGGGATTTTTAGAATACAGATGTAATTGTCTTGTATTGGAGTACTATCCTGTCTCCACTCTGTATTATGCTTTGTAAAAATCTTATTTGCTTACAGTCTGAAATAACTTTGAAGGGGGAAACTCGCATTTTTGGGCAAATAATGTTTTCTGACATTTTTTTTTCTCATTCAACCTCTTTCTTTGTTCCCTGTGAGAAAAGACATGACATTAAATACAGAACTTCCCTAAACAATATTAATAGGTCAAATTTCTCAGAAGTCAGTCAGCTGAAGGCTACAAATTTGCTTGTATTTTTAAACTGTGTGTGTTTATAAACTAAGTGGGAATTTTAAAATGCAAATTGAAGTGGGATGGGCAGTCTGGATTTGTATCCTTAAACTCACTTTCTTTGCTCTCGTTCCTCATTCCTCCACCATCCCTACAAGAGTGTTTATATTTTTTGGACCGTGTTATCAGCATGAATTTCAACTTCTGCTGTAGAACTCCTTCTTGATGTTATATCGATACAGTTTTGTGGTCCAAGTCTTAGAAATGAACATAACATATATATCTCAGTGGGCACAATGAAGCAAACCTATTTTCAGATTCTGGCCTTTTCAGGTGTACTCTGCAGGGATTTGTAATAAATCATTGTACACAGAAAAAGCCTTTGACTTACTAAAACACAAGATTTACTTGGAAAAGTAGATAGCAGTTCTGCCTAAAGTTGCATAGCTTTTTAAAAATGACTTGGGCTTTTGGATTGCATATGTCCTGTAAGTGTAGCTAAACAGAAAATGTATTTTTTTGCATGATATTTATCACCAGTTATTTACTTAGTTCAATTTCTTTTTCCATAACCTGTGTTACGCTGCTTGTGTTAGTGGAGCCTATAAAATTGTTTTGTGTGTCTTTTTTAAAGTTGCCTTTAAAAAAAGATTAAAATTTTTCCAACTGGAAAAAATGTGCTATTAAAACTATATAATGTACAAGAGACTTAGGTAATTGTTTGCAGATTTTTCCCAACTTGTAAATCTAAGTCATTGGCTTGGATGAGGAAGGGCTCCCTACACATTTGTCTTATACATATGAATAACATTCTGCGGAGTGTATGCATAGTGTTAGTTTTGTAACTTCAATCACACAATGTCACAATTGCAAGCTACCGATTAACTAGCAATAGTTTTTTTTTTTTTGGTAACATCAGAATTTAGCTTTTTGGTACACATGTCTTCATAACCTGGATCTTATATGTACATTTTATTTTTTTTTAAATTGGCATGAGCTTGGGATGACCGATTTACTCACGGGAGAGTTAGCTGGTCATCTAAAACAAGTGCCAGAAAAACCTTTATACCACTCCATATATTAAGGATTCTGTACATGCCACATCAGACAGAATTATTGTAGAGGTTGCATCATACTTATAGTTGGCACTTCCACTTGCTACCTATCAAACCAGGATACTTCTCAAGGCTAGATGCAAGAGGTGTGTTCCAGCACCTTAACATCTTCGGTTCAGTATCTTCTTGCCTGTTGTGGTAGAAAGAAGAGCTACTGTCACTTTAAATGGGAGTGTCAGTTTTCGTTGTTGGACTCAGCATCTGCCTCTGGCTTGAGAATATCCTGAGATATTGACTCCTTTATAACTGTCTCACTTATATACTGAAAAGATATAGTAGATAGTTTACGTTTCGCAAATGTATTTTTCTCTTTTTCTCCAGTGTCTGCTCATTGGGTAACTTTAACACCCTTATTTACAGATAGGAGGGATTTGAAAAATAGCTTTAAAAACCATTGTTTAGCTAACCAAAACATTTTAAAAATAGTTGCTTTATACAAAATACATGATCATGAGCAGTACAGCCATTCCAAAACATGAAGCAAAATATTTATATCACATCATATGTATAGTAAATAAGAATAAATACAGGATCTTGAAAGTAAGTTTATAAAACATTTCTACTGAAGAAATTGTCACTAAGTAATTTGCAGTACAGTAATTTCTCGCTTAACATGTGCCCGCTCAACACATTTTTGTAATAGCATGATTTTTGGGGGGGAACATTTTTTGAACAACATGACTCATCTCCGCAATAACACGATTTCCCCTGCTGGCCAGCCAGTCACTGGCAGCTGCGCTGGGCTTCCCCTGCCTCCCTGCAAAGCAGCAGAGGTTCGCCGCTCGCCATGCCATTTCCCGGCGACCCCCTCTGGGGACGCTTCGTTCCTTCTCCTCCAGCCCCTGTTTACAGCCGGCAGCTTGGTTTCCCCAGCTGGCCAGTCACTGGTAGCTGCACGGGGCTTCTCCTGTCTCCCTACAAAGTGGCAGAGGTTCTCTGCTCGATGCGCTGTTCCCAGGCGACCCCTCCTCACCAGACATGAGGCATCCAGCCAGAGGGGGTCGCCGGGAAATGGCATGGCGAGCGGCGAACCTCTGCTGCTTTGCAAGGAAGCAGGGGAAGTCCCATGCAGCTGCCAGCTGCAAGCCCCTTCCCCGGTCCTTCCCTTCGCTTCCCCAGAGCCAAACACCTCCCCTCATTGCTAGAACCCAGTCCCCTTTTTCCCCCGGTTCTTTGATGTCCCTGTCCTAGCTGCTAACAAGTACAGGCTGGAGCTGCGAGTGCATGTGCACTTGAAATGCAACCCCCACCTTTTCCATTATTTTCAGTGGGAAAATTGACCCCCGCAGAACACGTTTTCACTTAGCATGATCATTTTCTGAAACGTATCTACCATGTTAAATGAGGAATTACTGTACTCCCATTCATTCTGTATCCTGTATTTGGATAATGGCAGATCCGGGGGAGAGAGGAGGGGTGTATAGTAGTTGTCACTATTGTTAATATGTGCCTAATCCCAAACCTATTGATGTCATTGGAAAGCCTTCAACTGACTTCAGTGGGTTTTGAATTGGTCCCATAATTAGCATTGGCCTATTTAGCAGGATTTTTTTCAACATTAAGTTCTTTTTCAACTCAGTATTGCATGTATGATCTCAGACTAACTGGGATAAAGGAGAATATAAAACACTAGCAAAGTGATGTGGTAGTGCTTGATTTAACTTCTGATCAGAGATGTGTAAATTTTTTGTTACCATTCTGAACATAGATTCCAGTGCTTTATTTGCGTAGACACATCTAAGTTTTTTTTTTTTTTGGTCTTTGGGTAATTTGTCAGAGCATAGGATTTTGCAACTGCAGAATCACAAAAAGCTTTTAATGCGTCTTTTTTTTTTTCAGGTTAGATTGCAGATATAAAGTCCTGGCTCTGTTGAAGTCATTGAGAAATTTTTCCAGTGATTTCAGTGACTCAGGATTTCATCCCAAGTATAGGTATATTCCTGTTGCAGGCACAGCTAAAAGAGGAATTATACCTTTGTTTTATCTGTTTTGTAACGGCTTGCTTATTACTTATTAATGGAAAGTGGCAACAAAAAAAATTACTTTCCTTTTTAATGTTCCAATCTGAAAATTACTTTCCATCACACAACAGAAATATGTGGGTTTTTTTAAATACATTAGTTCTTTTTAAGAATCTAAATACATTGGTTGTCTAAATCAGTTACTTTAGGCTTGAAAAATATGAACCATAATGATGTTTATGTAATTGTTTTCTGTAGGTAAGAGATTTGTTTATTGTACAATCCTTCAGCTTTACAAAATTCAAAAATGGGCAAGGCCTGGCCAAGTGTTACCAATATAGTGTTATCTTTTTGTGACCGCTAGTGCATATTTCAGAGAACTATCCACAGTGATTACAAGGTCTTTCTTGATTAGTAACAACTAGTGAAGATTAGGGATGTGAAAGTGTAAACATGTACACAGCTAACCAATGAGCCAGGTTAACGTGCACAGTTTCACGCAGGCCCCGACTCCTCTGTGCTGCTGCCAGAGGGGGGGGACGAAGGGGGCAAAGCTGGGAGTTGGTGCTCAAGGGGAGCCACCCCCATGTAACTGCTGAAATTTTCAGCAATTACATCTTTACCAGAATAAACACATTTTAATATCCCTAGTGAAGATCCCATCATTTTGTTTCCCAATGTGCATTATTTAGCAGGTGAAATTCAGTTTTGATATATGCAATTTTGTTGTCCAGTCACCTAGTTCTGTGAGATCTTTGTAATTTATGAGTCTGTTTTGGACTTAACTATCTTGAGTAATTTTGTATCATCTGGAACTTTGTTTAAAAATTAATGTCATGTTAGCTGTTCATCACACATCTGGTACACAAATGGATTTAAATGATAGGTTACATACCATAGTTGTAAATTGTATTTATTTGCAGTTAACTCTGGCTTCGGAAAGGATTTTGCAAAGTTTAAATATTAACTAAGACACTTGACCTCTATTTCCAGGAGTGCTGTTGATTAATTGCTGTTAATGCACCTGATTAATTTTTTAAAATCCTTATTTTAATCCTGATTAATTGCACTGTTAAATAGAATACCAGCTGAAATTTATTAAATATCTGTAGATGGTTTTTGTACATTTTCAATATTTTAATTTCAACATAGAATACAAAATGCACAGTGCTTGCTTTATATTCTTTTTATAAATATTTGCAGTGTAAAAATGTTAAAAAAAAATTTCAATTCACCTTATACAAGTGCAGTCATTTTACCATGAAAGTGTAACTTGCAAATATAGATTTTTTTTTGGTTCCATAACTGCACTCAAAACAATATAAAACTTTAGAGCCTACAAGTCTACCCAGTCCTACTTCTTGACTTGCTGATCACAAAGGGCGCATCTATACAGCAAGGCTTAGCTCAATTTGCGTAGCTTATTTCAAGTTATGTCAATTGCGTAGGTTATTTTGAAATAGCTTATATCGTTTTGATGATTTATATACACAGCATTTATTTTGAAATAGAGCGCCCTTCCTATGACTTTCCTTACTCATAAAATGAGGGTTACAGGAGTTGGAGTAAGTCCTCCAGCTTGACAGTATTTCAACATTGTGTCAAAATAACTGTGGACTATGTTATTTCGAAATAATGCTGCTGTTTAGACATAGCTTAAGACAAACAAGTAGACCAGAGATACTGCTGCCTGCTTCTTACTTTCTGGTTAAACTGTAAATAAGAATAGGTGTTCATATGGCACTTTTGTAACCAGCATTGCAAGGTATTTATTGCCAGTTCTGGTAAACATACATTCATATGCACCTTCATGCTTCAGCCAACATTCCAGAGAACATGCTTCCATGCTGATGCTTTTTTTTTTTAAATGCAGTAATGAAATTTTGTGACTGAATTCCTTGAATGAGAACTGTATGTCTCCTGCTCCATTTTACTGGTATTTGGCCATATATTTCATGTTATGGCAGTCTAGGACTGGAAGGGACCTCGAGGTTATCCAGTACAGTCCCCTGCCCTCATGGCAGGACCAAATACTGTGTAGACCATACCTGATAGACATTTATCTAGCCTACTCTTATATCTCCAGAGATGGAGATTCCACAACCTCCTGGGCAATTTATTCCAGTGTCTGACTACCCTGACAGTTAGGAACTTTTTTTTAATGTCCAACCTAAACCTCCGTTGCTTCAGTTTAAGCCCATTGCTTCTTGTTCTATCCTCAGAGGCCAAGATGAACAAGTTTTCTCCCTCCTCCTCATGACACCCTTTTAGATACCTGAAAACTGCTATCATGTCATCCCCCCTCCCATTCTTTTCTAAACCAAACAAACCCAATTCTTTCAGCCTTCCCAAATAGGTCCCAGTCTTCTCTTTTCTAAACTAAACAAACCCAATTCTTTCAGCCTTCCCTCATAGGTCATGTTCTCTAGACCTTTAATCATTCTTGTTGCTCTTCTCTGGACCCCCTCCAATTTCTCCACATCTTTCTTGAAATGCGGTGCCCAGAACTGGACACACTACTCCAACTGAGGCCCAGCCAGCGCAGAGTAGAGCGGAAGAATGACTTCTCGTGTCTTGCTCACAACACACCTGTTAATGCATCCCAGAATCATGTTTGCTTTTTTTGCAACAGCATCACACTGCTGACTCCTATTTAGCTTGTGCTCCACTATGACCCCTGGATCCATTTCTGCAGTATTCCTTCCTAGACAGTCACTTCCCATTCTGTGTACCTCAGACCATTTCTCCAATTTGTCCAGATAATTTTTAATTATGACCCTATCCTCCACAGCAGTCGCAAGCTCTCCCAGCTTGGTGGTATCTGCAAACTTAAGTGTACTTTCTATGCCAATATCTAAATTGTTGTTGAAGATATTGAAAAGAGCTGGTCCCAAAACAGAACCCTGCGGAACCCCACTTGTTATACTTTTCCAGCAGGATTGTGAACCATTAATAACTACTCTAAGTACGGTTATCCAGCCAGTTATGCACCCACCTTATAGTAGCCCCATTTAAGTTGTATTTGCCTAGTTTATTGATAAGAATATCATGCAAGACCGTATCAAATGCTCATTTTAAGCATTTTTACAGCTAATTTGACAACACAAACAAGGTACCAATGTGAGATTTCTAAAGATAACTAAAGCACTTAACCAATGTTTAAGAATCTGAAGTGCCTTCCAGTATATGAGGGACAAGATATGGAACATGTTTTCAGAAGTCTTAAAAGAGCAACACTTTGTGAAAACTATAGTACCTGAGCCACCAAAAAAGAAAATCAATCTGCTGGTGGCATCTGACTCAGATGATGAAAATGAGCATGCATCAGTCCACATAACTTGAATCACTATCAAGGAGAACTGTCATCAGCATAAATGCATGTTCTCTGGAATGTGGTTGAAACATGAAGGGACATTAATTTTCAGTGCATTTGGCGTGTAAATATCTTGTTACACCACCTACAACAGTGCCATATGAACACCTGTTCCCACTTTAAAGTGACATTGTAAACAACAGGGAGGCAGCATTATTTCCTTCAAATTGTAATCCAGCTTGAGTGATTGGCTGAAGAAGTAGGACTGTGTGGACTTGCAAGCTCTTAGGTTTTCCATTGTTTTATTTTTGAATGCAGGGGGTTTGTATATAATTCTTTATTTGTAAATTCAACTTTCATGATAGAAATTGCACTACAGAACTTGCATGAGATGAATTGAAAAGTACAATTTTTGTCCTTTCCATTGCACATGTATTAAAAGTGCTGTACACTTTGTATTCTGTATTGTAATTGAAATCTATATATTTGAAAATGTAGAAAACGTTCAAAAATATTGAAAATAAATGGTGTTCTGTTTAAAACTGCAGTTAATCACGATTAACTTTTTAAAAACTCTTGACATGCCTACTTTCCAATTCATCCAGTGACTGTGTGACCTTGAATAAGTCGCTTCATCTCTCTGGTCATCTTATGCAAATTCTTTTTTATTCTTTTTTATTTTAATGGATGTTTCCCTGCCTCTCGGGTGTTCTAAAACTTTTAATTAATATCTTGTAGAGCACTTTGAGATCATTGAATGAAAAGCATTGTCATAATGCAAAATGGTATTAATTAAGTTATTTGGCTTGGATATTTCCTTTTCAGTCTTGTGTAGAAAATTTCTCACTCTGTACTGCTTAACTCTGCTCTATTCCTTACTTAACTAAATTTCTCATAACTAGCTGAAAAAGTTTGGGCCAGTAAGAAGTTAATATTTTAAAAAGAATAATTTTGTTTCTGCCTAGATGATGGAACATCTTGATTATACAGCAAATGAAGAAAGCACCACTACTGCCAATGAACAGTCGACTGGAGGACAATAACACCGGAGATTCTGATCTAAAATAGTGGTGTTCAGATTTTATACAAATAAACGTTAGAAAATTGACTGATTTAACATTTACACTAAAGTATTTCATGTTCTAGATGAAAATTGTCTTTTTTTACATTTGCACATATTTTTATGGAAAGGGTACTATTGATTATATTATATGAACGTGATTAAAATCGATTTGTTTTTATAACAGACAACATTTAGTAAAACTGTGCCTTATATCACTATAAATAAAAGAATGTCTATGCAATTTTCTAAACGTGTTATGTACAATATATTTTTATACAAATATTTCTTGTCCCCATCTCCACTGGACAAAGTCACTTTCTGGCTAATAGTTAAAATTGGTTGATTTGCACTATTAGGAATTAGAAGTGACCTTCACAGGACTTCGCTCAAACTTTTGAATGCAAAGATTGTTAGATTATAATTAGTATGGCATACAGTTTAGTGTACAGACCTAAATAAGTCAGACAGTTGCACTAAGTCATAAAGGTATGGTTATAGTACATCTCAACTTGTTTTTACTTTCTGTCCCTCATTGGCCCTTTTTTTCCCTGTTAGCAGTGCAATCAGAATGACAATATAAACTAAACTTGATACTTTAGTTTCTTTACCTAATTGCCTAGAAATCTAAATACAGCCCTTGAGTAGCTAACAGCCAAGAGAACAGCAAAACCCAAACTTCCATCCGCTTTTTCCCTAGAATTTTTTAATTAGAAAAAGAATCTCTGAGATTCTTGACTACTTTGAATCTCTGATATGACCACTTGCTCCAGAACCCAGGCTTTAATCCTGAATCCATAGACTTCAGTGGATGTAGGGTTCGGCTCCTACAGAGTGAGAAGAAACCTCTAGATGTGTATCCACCCAATCCTGAAGTTTTAAGAGGAAGTGTTGTTTGTAGTTGATACTGTACAATATAAGTACGTTGATGTAATGCTTAATTAAAGCCAAAACATGTTTAATTTGCCATTTAGTCTTAATATCTGTCTTGTTTATTGAAATGTTCTAAACAAATTAAAAAGGAAATTGAGTTAAACAATTAGTTCACATTTAGGAGAGTTTGATTTTTATTAACACTTGATTTTCTTTGGAAACTGCAAATTGAGGATATACCAAGTGATTAGACATTTGATGATATAGCACTATCCTAACACTTTTTGACCAAAGAGACTTGCAGAAGCCTTCAATTGTGAACCACTGAAGTTCACCCCTTGCTAATTTAAAATAGTCATTTAAAGACAAATCTTTTTTCTTTTCTATAATGCTGCGTCTAGATTGGCATGATTTTCTGGAAATGCTTTTAATGGAAAAGTTTTTCTGCAAAATCACTTTGCGCAAAAGGGACTTCTGCTCCTGTTCAGGCAAAATAGTATTTCCGCAAGAAGCACTGATTTCTTACAGTAGGAAGTCAGTGCTTTTGCGGAAATTCAAGCGGCCAGTGTAGACAGCTGGCAAGCTTTTACGGAAAAGCGGCTGATTTTCCGGAAAAACTGGCCAGTCTAGACACAGCCTAAGTGAACTAAGTTCTTACAGTAAGTGCCAGAGTTTAGATACTTAAACTGCAATTCAGTAGATATAACTTGAGCAATGGTAATGCAGGCTTCCCTGTAACATCTCACTTAAGAGACTCAATCACCCCTTGCCTCTAAACATGATGGGGGGTAGCTTAGTATCCACAACTCAGTCTTCTATTGACCTTTTTATAAAGACTGCCAAGGAGAATACTAGCTGATGTGGATGATTTAGCCACTTTGGTTGTAACTGCATTGAAACAACCATGGCTATAAAACCACTTTCAGACTGTGGTAGTGGTCACTTTGTACTATCTGAGCTAGAGGTACCCAGACTGCATCAATGTGGAATGCTGTCACATTCCACCATTGATTCTCTGAGAGATCGTCTACCTCTTCAGTAGACTCTAGTTATTACAATCAATTTCAGGCATTGGAAATACCTCAGTGCTTAATAGCATTATGGTAAATGTTGAGGTAATCTGAAATTAGATGGCAAAATCTGTACAGGGAAAAAACAGGGTAAAGTGTTTTTTCTCCTTAAAATTGCTTTCTATTTCTAGTATAAAATGCTAAGTTGCTATAATGAAACTTTAGTTTTGACATATCCAAACTACTTCAAAATGGAGTGGTAGTGATGGAAAAGTATCTGAACATTTCATAAGAAATAAAGGGATCATAATGGTAATTTAGCATTTTGCTGTACTTTCAAATGTTAAAGGCTTAATAAACCCTTCTAAAATTATTCTTGTTTTCCCTGTGGAGAAGTCTCTATCTAATTTTACCTGATTATCAAATAGTTTGGAAGTTTAAGTTTAGTGTAAATTAAAGAGCTGTTTGGCAGCTTATTTAACTGTGTTCATTCAGCAGTTTGATGTGAGAAGTCTGTATTGCTCAAGGCCTAATTATTCTGTGAGGCTTCACACACACACTGCAGTTTGATGGGATGCAAACTAACTTTTTTTTCTTCAAATGCTTGTGCTTGACTTTAGGGAAATCAAGTTTTTATAAGCTTTTAGTGTCATCTAATGAAATGTATTTCATGAATAGTTCAAAGGGACTTCTCCTTTCAATTTGTTTTAAATAGCATTGGTTGTTTACTTAAATTCAATTGTTTATTTCCTTGCAATAAGAGTCTTACTAGCATTATTTAATTATCCTTTAACTTTTTTTGTTGTATGAATACTGACAGTTCCCTCTCCTGCCATTTAAACATTAAGAATGTTAATAAATTGTTTCTACAGGTAATTTGAGTAATGGCTCTGTTCTTTGTCTTAGAAAACTAGTACTGTTGACAACATTACTAGTGATACATGTGCACTAGTAACGTGGGAACCCGACTCCTGTAGTCCATTTTATGCACCCAGATCAACCACATCAGATGGGTAAATCACTGTGGTGGGGTTGGAGACACTCCAATCAGTGGCTCCTACCAGGTGCTGGACTCAGCTTATTGTCCCAGGTGAGGTGGGGGTAGACAGGACTTCCTCTTCCTCTGCAAGAATGGGCTGGGGCCAAGTCAGACCACCCCAATACTACTTCTGCTCCATGTAGTTCTGCACTGTCCCACCCTGCTTCTTGCCTCCATTGCTCCTGAGCCTTGGGGAGGGGGATTTATTGTGCAGGGAGATGCTCCTCCCATCTGCTTGGGGTGTTTCTGGTGCATTTATTCTCACTCAAGTCTCTACAAATTCCAGCCTTAACTAGAATGTGGAATATTCAGAACTAAAAACGAAATGTTTTCTCAGTCCCCTATGTGATCTTGCGGTTGCTGTTCAAAATTTATATGACTGTTATGGGAATGTACTTTGTACAGTATGGATGTACTGACTCAGAACACTATTGTAGCCAACAGCTATGGAAATTGGCATATGGGAAGCAGAATGTAACAATTTCATACCCAGAATAACCTTTGAATTTGAGTAACTAATATTGTCTAGGTTGGATTAAGTCATGGTGTGCCTGAACTGCAACCTCAGTGGCTAACCTCCCAAACACTGGGGCAGTTTGGACTTGTCAGAACTTTGCTGTTGGCCTTTAGCTCTAGCATAAGCTGAATCATAACACGGCTGAATTTAGGGGAAATAACACATCCTAGTTTTGTTGCTCAGGCCCACCTTTTCCAGAAATATCAGTCTTAAACATGTAATAAGCAGATGAGAACAAATAACATTTTAGCTTATTACATGGAAATCTAACGTCAGCACTAAAATGACCCTTGAAAATATTGCATATGTAATCTACAAAAATGGCTTCTCAGGAGTTCAATATAAAAATTTAGCTGACTTCCCATAATCAGACATTAGCACTTTTTTCAAATGCTAATCCAATAGTTAATCTTATTAAAAATGGATGAGGCATTTGAGGAATAATCTAGATATTAAAATTTATAAAAGTACAGAATAAGGCTTTAGAATGCAGTAGTTCAAGGTCAATAACATTACAAGAAAGCAAACCCAGGAATTAAAATTTTGAACTTCTTTGAGAAGGAAGTATAAATTCTGGTGTTACAACAGTTTGCTACCACCTCTGATTATTTTAAGAGCAAGAGTCCACAATTCCTTTGAGCAGAAGATAATTGCCCTGTTTCTTTTTCCTTAACTCAAAATTGGCTGAAGTGCTGTGATGGCTGGCTCAAGTCATCCAGGAATTGAAAGCCAGTGTGTTAAACTTTGTATCAGCAAGAGTGTGCTTAGCTGTTGCTAGGCTATGTGTCAGATCTCTGACCCACCAGCTTCCCTGCCTACCTAGAAAAGTGCAGAATTCTGCCAGTTCAAACCTGGTCTTGCAGGTAGCATCAAATGAATCCCACTTCCTGAGTTCTTCAGACTTTAGTGCCTCATCCCCTCTCATAGGACACTCCAAGTTGTTTGCCATCTTCAAAGAGACAGAGCACATTAGTGCTGCCACCTTGAAATGTAAGTCTTGAGAGAGTTTTGTAATAAGTTCATTCACAAAGAATAACAGGTTTAAGTGATTTCAACTAAGAGTAAAAGAGCTATGGAAGGCTACAGCTATAACAAAGCACACTTTTTTTGTCTGATTAAAACTTCAAGTTACAATCTTTGTCTGATCAGATTTCTCATCAGTAGTCAGTTCCCAGAGACTACAGTTCTCTTATTCGAAGGTTCCACTTTTCTCAGATTTCAAAAGCTCTGGCTCATTTGTATCTCAGCTGATGAATGCCTAAATGCCTTTTGTTTCCACTTATATTTCCCAAAGTCTGTTGATCAGGCATGCAGATGGGGAGAGGGCAATTGCCCCAGGGCCCAGTGATGGAAAGGGGCCTAAGGCTCCCAGGCACCACTGCTGCTTCTGTGCCTCCAATCCAACCCCTTCTGCCCTTCCTGGAGTGTAGAGCTATATCCCCATCATTCCTTGCCAAGGGCTGAAGCAGTCTGTTCCCCTTCAGGAGAAAGGGGGTCGGGGGTGTGTGTGTGTGTGTGTGTGTGTGTGTCAGTAAATTCTTCATCTGCTATCATGATTAAGTGGTTGCCTTCTCCCCCGTTACCTTATGTAAATATACTTCCATCATTGCTGGCCTTTCCTTGTGCAGTTTGCATTGAAGTCAGTCAAGAGGTGAAAATGTTCCTTGGTTTAGAGAATATGCTGGGCTTAAGCACTGCTCACCAAACACATTTTTAAGAACACATTTCCAGCACCTAGCTAATTCTTTATACAACATGCCCACATGAATTATGCAATACCAATGACCAGTGTGTACTCAGTTTGCATGTGCCAAGAGTGAGTTCTCGCAATGAGTGTCTCAGGCCTGAGGTGAGTTACGCTATATTGTGTCCTCTGCTGGTTGGCATTTAGGAGATTCATGGGTCAATAGATACTGAACTCCTTTTTAAAAAACAAAGTCTATCTTCAGCAAGGAAGTAAAAGCTTGGACAAGAAGGGAGGGAGTGTGTCCTGTATTAAAGACTATCCATCCATTTTTAAGTAAAAGGCTCTATTTGACAATTTTAGACAGAATTCTTCATGATATAGCTATGGTTCCAAACTTGGTTTTAATTAGGAAATATTTTAAAAATTGCAAATACAGGCAGTCCCCGACTTACGCGGATCCGACTTATGTCGGATCCGCAGTTACGAACGGGGCTGCCCCGGAGTATACGGACTGCGGGACCTCGCGGTCCCGCCGCCCGTGTACTCCGGGCGAGAAAAGCTGCTCCGCGTCTCCCTGGTCTGCAGACCAGGAAGACGCGGAGCAAAG